CCCAAATTATCCAAAATTAGATTTCGTTATTCAAGAAAAGATGAAAATCAATATAATGCAATCTAAAAGAAGTATACCAATGAATCTAACTTGTGATCTTAGAGTTGGATAGCTTTCGGGTTGAAGTTCAATCACAAGTTGTATTTGATTGATAAATCCTCTAAATTTTGATCTCGTGCCATCAAACTTCTCGGGTAGGGCAATTCTTGATTCTCTAAGACTAGAAGAGCGTTCGACCATAGGAAAAGGGAGATGATTTGGTACAGATGTTGAAGCAGCTCCAATCATTTCTATATCTTTACTTCCTGCCAATCTTGTTGCTCCTTGTGGTGGTAAATTGAGTTGATGCATCGGAAGTATTAACTCCCTCAATTGTTCTTACATTTGTACGATTGCACATTTCATTTTAGCAAATTTTGCCATGATAACACTTAGAAAAAAAGATGTCTAATATCACTCAAGACAAATAGAAGAGAGGACTTGAGAACAAAGAAAATACTAAGGATAATGTTAGTTTAGAAGAGGGTAATTCGTAACTTTTAATACGCTTATGTCTTATCAAGAAAAAGTGATAAGCTACTCTTAATCAAGATTAGACAAAGCTCTGATATTGTAAGTGTACTTTTCTCAATCTATCAATGATAAGAATTTGATAAAAAGAAATAAACAAGTGAGACTTCTCTCAAAGAAAGATGACAAAATAGAAATAACTCAATATGTATGTTAGAAAAGAAACTAGAATGGCTATTGCCAAAAGATAAGAAAACTTGAGACCCTTGAAACTAGACTAGAAGGAAGAAAGGAGTTGACAAGAATGAAGAAGGCTTCACTCTTGTCTCTATATATAATATTTAACTAGGAGCTATGTGGCAATATTATATAGGACCTCTAATATGTGTTGACTTTGTAGGACACATATCTTGACTTATAAGGCATGTTTTTTTATGTGTGGACCATATAGTTAGCTTGGTCTTCAAGCTAACAATATGTGTGGCACATGGCCAACTTGTTGACCACGTTTCTAATCCAAAAAGTCAATTAAACACACCTATAAAGTCAAAGCAATATCTTTGAAGCTTCTAGAAAGCTTTCATAGAAAATATTATAGAATTAACTTACTTTTACTTACTTTTATTTACTTCTACCTAATTATATGTAATTATTGGCTTACACATGTATTATAAAACAAGGTGAGGGGTTTGAAAAGAGAATAGAACATTTATTAGGTGTTGTACATGATTTCAGCCACACAGTCTTTATTGTAGCTGGAGAAACTTGTTTTCCTACACATTATCTTCTTTGATAATTATGCTCTTCATTTTGTAACTGTGTTGCTTCTTTGAATAATATTGAGCAGTGTGCTTAGCTTCTCCACAATATAAATATAAATCCTCTTAGCAAAGTCAAGTCTTTTCTTACTTTGTGAGAGGTTTAAAATATATTGTATCAATTTGTATTGGTTTTGGCCTTGATGAATACATTTCAGAAAACTTTGAAGTTATTGCCATTACTTAACTTGTTCCTCTCGAGCCAAGTCTTTATTCTTGATGCCTTTCAAATAATCAATTATCACATGCAATGGCTTAAATAATAAATTTTTCTAAAGATTTTGCTTTTAGCATTGTTAATAACAAATCTTTGACACTGTTCTTCAATCTATATCAAAATTGATTAATAAGTGCTTTGTCATTTTAGTCCATATTGCAAGTAAGATTTTGGAATTCAGCAGCATATGTGGTGGCTAATCATGATCTTTGTCGTTAAGATAAGAATTTAGTCTCTTCTATTCGTTTTTGATCACTTTCTCCAAAAGTTCTTGTAAATACTTCTAGAAATGAATTCAAATCATAAAGGAGTCACAAATCTTTTTCTATTAAAGGTGTAAACTAAAAGAGAGCACTTCTTGATAGAAGTGCACCTATGAATCCTACTTGAGTAAATCCATCAAGATATTGAAAAATATGCAATCTTACATAGAACTTGACTTACTATAAAAATCCTTGAAATTTTAATCTTGTTCTATCAAACTTCTTAGGCATACTAATCCTTGTCCCTATCAAACTTATAGAAACAAAACTCCCTAGATTTGGTTGTGAGATAAATCTAGTGACTTCTTTCAATTGCACAACTTCTTGCCATAGACTCTCAACCTCTTCCATAGGCGTAGGCATAGTACTTCCATGATTCACGTTAAAAATACATAAGATTTCCACTCTAAGAGTATTGACAAGCTCATGAAGATCTGCAATAGTTACAAATCTATTCTCACTTTAGTTAGAAGTAGCATCCATAATCTTTCTTTCTATATGCAATTCAAACAAATCCAAAAAAGTTAAATTAGAAGAAGATAATCTACAACTTTTAATAAAAATTTCTATAAAGAAAGGTAATCCACTCTCTTCAAGGAAAGATCAGTGTTAAAAAAAAAGATTTTTTTTTGTTTAAAAGGTGGGTAGTCTATAACCTCTAAAACACAACAATAGAAGTAGAATAATCCATTCACTTCTAAAATAATACAAAAATAATATGTTAGTTTTTTGTCAAACTGTCAAGGACATGAATCTCAAAGGAAGAGGATCCTTGATACACTCTTGTATCTTTGAAGAGAACTAGAAAGTCACTCCAAAGGTAATGTAATATTAACTAGAATGGCTATTGCCAAAAACAAGAAGACTAAAAAGTCTTGAAACAAGACTAAGAACTAGAACTACATTGATAAGAGTGAAGAAGGCTTCACTCTTGCCTCTATATATACTCTTAACTAGGAGCTATGTGGCGATGTTCTATAAGACCTTCAAAACATGTTGACTTTCTTAGGCACATGTCTTAACTTACAAGGTAAGTTATATATATATATGCGTAACATAGTTAGCTTGTTCTACAAGCTATTATACGGAGTTAAATTGTTCCACAAGCTACCAACATGTGGTTAACTTGTTGGCCAAGTTTCCAACCTACAAACACATCTAAAGTTAAAACCGCATCTGTGAAGCTTCTAAGAAGCTTCTCTGAAAGACTTTATGAAATTAATCTATATTTATCTACTTATATCTAATCATATAAGTAATTATTGAAGTAAATATTTATATTAGTGATAATAGGTTAAAAATGTGCTTTACAAGTTGCCTACATATTGTACATATTGATCACTTGTTTTACAAGTTGGCTATATAGTGCGTATATTGAAAACTTGACTTATAAGTTAGATACATATCTTGAAAGTTGTACACATGTTGCATAACTTATATAATCCGAGCACATAATCTTCTAATTAGATAGTATATATAGAGGCAAGAGTGACGTCTTCCTTACTTTTGTCTATGCCTTTCTAGTGTTTTCATTTTAAGCAATCTCATAATGTAATATAAATAAAATTATTAAATAAAATAAGTATATTTTATATTTTATATTTTATATTTTTTGAATCATTAATATGTAAAATCATTTATAAAGTATTTACAATCACAAAAAATATCATATATTTTAATTATATGAGATTTTTGAAATCAAGAGTTAAACATCTTATTTCTTAATGTTTTATGAGTAAAACTTGAATAATCTTTTATTATTTCATTTATTTTACTTATTCCACTTTTCTAAAAAAATAAATTGATATCACCTTATGAATGTAATCTTTATTCTTTAAACTTTAAAGTAATTCAATTCTATTTCTTTAATCATATTATTTGAAATAAAATTTTCTTGTGTTATTTTAAAATTAATACAAAATTTTAATGTTTTGTATTAAAAACCTTATTCTGATACTTCTACAATACTAAAAAAAGAAAATAATATTTTTTAACAAAAAATATACATGACTTTGTATTTTATGATTATAATTTAGATTTAGCTGTGTCTTTTAATACATAGCTTCAATTTAAATTTTTGAATCTTATATATACATAATGCTATGTTGATAAACTTTTTTTTTTTGCTGTATTTTGATTTTTAATAAAGATGTTATGTAACTAAAAAATTTCACTCACTTAGTTTTTAATTACTTCTTACTTTCCAATGAGAAAATTAACAAAAACTTAAAATAAATAGAGTAAAAACCAGTTATTTTATTCCTTCTCAAACAAGATTTCCAAGCCTTGTTTGTCACTCTTAGATGTCCACCTTGTTGCGATAATACCAAAGATTTTATTCAACAAAAGGAACAACATGCATTCTAAAATGTTTTCCACAAAATTGAAAAAATAAATTTAAAAAGAAAGCCCATAATGCATCCTAATACCAAATGCCGACACAGAATACAATAATCACACACATACATACAAAGAAGATAATAAAACAGGTAATAAATTAGAAGCAAATGAAAAGACACATTATGCAAACAGACAGAAAACCCACTTCAATAAACGAAAGGAAACGCTGTGTTGTAAAAGGGACGGAGAAAGGGACTCGAAGAAAGGGGGGGCAAAGAGAAAGACAAGCAATGGGAGGCAGACTGCAAGTGGGAAAGCAAAGCAAAACAAAGCAAGGGCAAGGGTCACAACGCAACAAAGCCCGGCACGGAACAAGGCCCAAGAAATTCACACACGGAGACTTCCACTCACAGTCCATTACCCCCGTTCACACGAGCGCACCCCAGTAACCCCACCCCCGTCCACGTCATTGCTCCTAGTTGGCGACTAGGCGCACCCATAACCGACCCCGGGAAAGATCCCTTCACCGTTGGGTGAGTGAACGATCCGCGAATACCCGAGAGTTTCAGCGGCATTGATAGCAATGGACAGGACCCATGGAGGTGAGAACGCAAAACCCGTGGTCAATCATGGTGTACTGTGATGTGAAGCAGCTCGCAGGCGCAATCACACACACATACACTCACACACAGTTTTACTTTCACATGATCTGGTGAGAGAGAGATATAGAGAGCGCAATGAAGGAATTTATTTGTCCCGGCTGGGTGTGGGTGAACTGGGCCCCATTTATTTCCCCAAGTGAATGGACCAATAGAGGGGGAGGTTGAATCAGTTTGAAATGCGGCGTCGGTCGAAGGGTGTGGCATTGAATGTGCCCAGTGCAGCCGCTGGAGCGTCTGCCTGGACAGTGATTATGGAGATCAGTTGATCGCCTTCCCCCTTCTCCCCACCCACTCGCCTTAAACTTCCCCCACCAGCACCTGTCTCCGCTCTTGCTCCGTTTCTCGACCCTAGAACGGTAGTACTTTAAGAAACCGCTGCTCCGATCGAGACACCATCGCATTCGGGCTGACAGATTACTGAAGCTTGCAAGCTAGCGAGTGTGGTTGACTGGAGTTCTCGGCGCTGCTGGTGACAACGCTGCTGGTTGGGACCGTATCCAAGAGGAGCTTGACACTGTCGGAGGTTGTCGAGCTGGTGAGAGGTAGGAGTCTAAACCGGTTCAAGTGGATTGATGGTTTGGAGTTCTCTGGTCTCGTACCTCAGTAGACAGTGTGATCAGTGGTAGTGAAGGTGAGGTCGACCTCGTATCACATTGGGGTTCGTACGTGTAGCCTTGTGCGCAGCGATTGATTTCAATGGAGCTTGAACAGGTGTCTGCTAGTAGGATGTAGGGTGTTTGTTCAATTGCATTGCTCAGGGCGGTGTCTATTGGGACGTTTGAGTTGGGTTGTGGCTATGAAAATGGTTAGCCTGCTGTTTGTATGTGTCGGCCTTTTTGGTCGAGTGGAGGATGTGGTTGTGAATGAGGCTATCGTGTCTTCGTTTTTTCTGCTATGTGCGAGTCATTGTATAATCGGTTGTGCTGTGTCGTGATTCACAGTGTAGTAACTGGCTGATCAAGAAAAGCGAGACTGACGATGTTGTTTGAGCTAACTGTGAGATCATTGCTTTGCAGAATCCTTGATATAAAGAGCATCTCTTTCGCAATGGGTTCGGCAGATGTGGCGTCCACTCTGACGGAGCTCAACGTCCAGCTCGATGACCCTGTGTACGTGAAGCCCGCAGAGCCTTGCGAGAATACCAGCCCTTTCTTCCTCACCAACATCGACCAGGTCTGTACGTTATCTCCGTCATCTCGTTGCCATTTAATTCAAAATGGAAATTAGTTTCGTTTGACACTAGTTCTTGCAGGCAGTTGTAGAAGATGATACATGGCTGCTGAGCCTGTTACGGAAATGTGCTGCAGATGTTGGCATTCACAGTGGAGACGCACTACTTTTATGCTTCTAATCCAGAAAAGTCGAGCGACACGGTGGCGGACACGCTCAAGGAGGCGCTGAGCAAGTTGTTAGTTCATTACGACTTCTTGGCGGGTCGGGTGAGACTGAACGAGCAGCTCATGCGCATGGAAATCGACCGCAACTATGCAGGAGCACAGTTCTCTACTGCTACTTGCGACCTCACGTTGGCGGAGCTTGGCGATGTCTCAGTCCCAAATCCCCTCTTCAGGAAATTTGTGCCGCAAGCGCACAAAGCGACCACTATAGCAGACATCCCTTTAATGATGATTCAGGTGAGTTTCCTTCTTACAATTATCCTTGTCAGATTTGGGTTGAAATATTCATAGTTGCGCTTACCTTACAATTCTTGACCCATCGGATTGGCTAGTGAGGTTTGAGGTTAGTGTGGAATTTGCAGGTAACGACATTCAAATGCGGCGGCCATTGTGTCGGCTTTGGAATGAGCCATCTCGTTTGGGACGGTCACGGCGTGGTGGAGTTTCTGTTCAATTTGATGTCTGTAGCTCAAGGTGGCCCTCTGATCTTCCAACCCAAGCCTGAACGTGAAATGTTCAAGGCTCGGGATCCTCCAACTCCTACATTCGATCATCCCGAATATCTCAGACTGGACGAGCTTCCACCTAGTCTTAGTGGCGCTTTCACCACGCCAGACGTTGTCGACTCAGGGTTTGAGGGAATATCTGCCTCTTCGAAGCACATCACCAAGATTGTGTCATTTTCTGCTGAAGATTTGGCCATACTAAAGAGGAGAGCCATGGAAGATGGAAAGCTCTCCAAGGTTAGCACCTTCGACGCGCTTTCAGGCCATGTCTGGCAAGCCCGGATCAAGGCCATTGATGCGAAACCGACTGATGTTGCCCAACTCCAGTACGCTGTGGACATCCGTGATCGCCTGGATCCCCCACTACCCAAGGGTTTCGTTGGCAATGCCATCTACTCTGCTTGCGCCCGAGCCACTTGTGAAGAGGTCCGAAGTGGTTCTCTGTCATTCTGTGTGGAACAAGTTCAGAAGGCCAATGAAAGAGTCACAAATGACTTCATCAGGTGATGTATATTCTGAATTCGCCTCTTCGTACATTAGCTCTGAAACACAATTTGTAAGTCTATCTCTGGAATTGTTTATATTTTGGCCGTTGTGTGCTAGTACAAATGCTGAGTTACGGGACTGCACGGTAACAGTAGATTCACCTCACACCCTCTTTCTCACTTCTGTTCCAGCTTCCAAATCGTGATTTTTCAGGGTCATGATATTAACTGTACTCAATTGGATGGGCGCCGTGGTGCGTGCAGATCTGGAATTGACTGGTGGGAGGTGTACCGCGGCATACCAGCCGTACCCAGCGGAATCTTCATCTCATCGTGGCAGAAGATGCCGTTCTACTCCATCGACCTTGGCTGGGGAAAGCCCATGTATGCAGGGCCGGCAGTATCGCCAATGGTAGAGTTCGTTGTGTTCTTGCCCACACCCGAGCAGCAAGGACTGAACGTAATTCTGGCTTTACAACCGGAGGTGATGACCAAGTTCGAGGAATTCGCGAAAGTAACCGCCTAGATTAAGCCTAACCTGGATGGGGGCTGATGTATAAACGTATAACTACTACACAAACATCAAGAGACACCAAACTCATTTTACATTTCTAAGTTTCGTGATTTATACCTCACGAAGCGATCGTTAATTAAGTGTTACAAATCAATTTTTTTCACTTCATTAGCCTCTGTTCAACATTCTTTGCTCAGCTACCGTGCTAAATGGTTGATGTGAATTTGCTTCTCAAATTAAAAGGATTACTTTCACCTGTCGGTATTCTGTCTGCAATCTTTACAATTACGAACATATCGGCTGCATCATTCACGCCGCAGATCGCAACTTACGAGTCTTTATCAAATATACCTGTCAGTTCACTTTAGTTGCAAAGTCTTCATTGTCTCAACTGTAAGACCGTGATGTGAATTTAATCTTCGAATGATGCATGTCAGTGGACGTAGGAAGCATTTCTGGCTCACAATGCGCTGCCTCGACTCTTCCAGTGAAGCCCAAGGTCGAGCACTCTGGATGAATGTTGAAGTAGATTGATATCAATTTAATTGAAGTATGGAGTTCCAAAAGCTATGGAGTTGTACATAATGGGTCTTATTTCTTTCTTAACTTACAAAAAAATATAAATCTGGAAGTACCACGTCTATATTCTATTTATTTCATGGATAAACTTCAAACCGAAAAACATCAAAGAGAGGTTTGGAATTATGACTGGTTTCGAAGCTGATTTGAAAGCTTTTGCAATTTGGAATGATGGTCAATGAAGCCTCTTCATATTTTAACGTTTTAATATGGACCTAGAAGAAAGATAGAAAATATTAACTTAAAATTTTTAAGTTTCAAACTCAAGATTAATTGATTTTTTGATATATATATATATATATATATATATAAGTATGTATGTATGTAAGTATGTATGTATAGAGAGAGTATAAAATTATATTTTATATATCTAATACACAATAATAGGAAAACTACTATGAAGACACCCCTCTTCTATTCCATAGTCACTTTCTTGTACCATGCACTTTCTTATATGCATATTAAAATTTTCTTTTATACAAAAATAAATAAATAAAAATAGGATAAATTTATAATAAATAATTTGTATGTATTGGCTTATGCTATATATATATATATATATATATATTAATAGTATCAAATCAATATTCTTAGAAACCATTGAAAAATTCTAATAATTGAATTTGTATGAGATTGCTTAAAATATATACACAATTTAAGAATTACTATTAGATTGTGACCTATTTTTTTTAATATTAGAAAATAAACTCAAGTTAGTATATTTACTATTATTATTTTAAGAAATATTTTTTAAAAATAAAAAGTATGAATAAATATTGAACTACTCGCATATGAAAACTTTTAAGTGAAGATAAATATAATTTCAAAAATTTAGATTGATTTTATTGAAATGCTTTAGAATCTTAGAGACATTGGAAGTCATCAATTAGAATCAAATATGAAATTGCTAAAACTATATCTATATATATATATATATATATAGATTATAATAGCTATTAATTTAATATAAGTATTAGCTAGATACTATTCATGTTATTAAAAGATATCTTATCTTAGCTAAAATTTCTAGCATACATCAATAAAGATTAAATTTAGTCTCAAAAAAAAAAAAAAAAAAAAAAAAAAAAAAAAACTAATTATAAAACAAAGTTGAATATAATTTAGAAAAGTTAAAACATACAATTATGCCTAAATTATAAATAAAGACTAAACTAAATAAAAGACCACAATTATTAACAATTTGCATTCAAAATTATAACACCACCAAAAAATATACAAACCAATTATACCTCACATCTACTTTTGATAGCTCAAATCTTCACAAATTACATGTCTTAAGAAAAACGAATTTTTAATAGTAATCATCTATTAATATACAAATATTAAGAATATAATAGTTCTTTTAATACAATATTGTTATGTTATGTAAAAATTAGCCTAAGATTAACTTGGGGCATTTGATTATAAAAGAATTTGATCTTATCTTAAAGTTGGATTTACAATCCAAAAAAAATGTAAAAGATGTTTAGAAATACCTTCTTAGTAATCATGAAAAACTTAAGTAAACTTCTAATTATGCTAAGTATCTTATATCAATTTTTGAAAAATCCTAAAAAAATCTCATTACATTCTAATTAACTCCAAATAAACCTTAAAATATCCTTAAAAATATCAATTAAATTATATATTTTTTAAAGAAACCATAAAAAAATATTAAAGAAATCCTAATAAAATCCTAATTAGTCCTAAAAAAGTTTCAAATAAATCTTAATCAAACCTAAATCAAATCTTATGTAAATCTTATATAAATCTTGTGATGATTATAATAAAGATAGGATAGATTGCATGTAGTGGCTTCTCATGCTAGAGAAAACTAGGAGTCATCTTGGAGACAACTAGGAGACATCTTCGAGGCATCATGGACACATCCAAGTGATATTTTTGAGGTTTCAAGTTGACTTAAAGAAGTGAAAGGATGAAAAAAGGGATGATTGTTATATCTTTTGTTTTGATTAATAAAGAGGACAAATTTTGGATCTCGGATTGGAGTCTACTATGATTAAATGAGTCTTTAGTAAGAACAAAATTTTAGAAAATTCTTTAGAATAAGTATATCCATTTTTGTACAAAATTTGAAGGTAAAAACCAATCAAGTGAAGGAAAAATAATGTACCAAAGAAAAAAAGGTCCAACAAGTTTCTAAGTCAAAGGCAACAACTTTGAGGGGTCAAAACTTCATATCTATATGAATTATGGTTATGAAAATTAGAATGTTGTATTAAAAATTTAAGAACAAAATACAAAGTTTCAAGGTATTGTGCTATTTGGTTTAAGTAATATGTACAAAAGAGTAATTAGATATAGAATTGTAAAGAAAGAATAGTAACCAAAAAGATAACTTAGAGAATTTTCTTGCCACAAATAATTTAAATTATTAAGCACTTTAAAAATTATAACATAAAAAAAGAATAAGTTATATAATCTATTAGAAAAGGTCTCAAATCCTTTCAATTATTTTGCATTGGATTATATAAGTTCAAAGTGAGGTAGGTCATATTAAGTACAAGTGAGGGATTTGGATAATAGTTTAGTATATATAAGTATAAAAGAGAGGATAGAAACTAATAAAGACATATGTAAGCAACAAAGATTTCCACAAAAAGAAACTTTGTGCTTTTTTAGATCAATAACAAACTTCTTGATACTATTTCAAATATATATGTATATAAATATCTTCTACTAAAATAGATGTTAATGATGGAAGTCTTAAAATAACTTTTGCTTGTGGTTAAAGTGGTTTTTTTCTTTGAACAATAGTTATAATCATATGATATTCTTTATTTCTTTAGACATAATCTTTATCTTAATTCTCAATGCTTTTATCTTATATATCCTTAAGATCATTTTTTGTTTCATCTACCTTGTTTCTTAGCCTTTCCACATACCAAAAGCCAATCTTTTGACCATTAACAACTTACCTAAGATAATATCTCCTATAAGATAACTTATTCTACTTTCATTTTTTGTTTACTTTATTAATATCTTTGTCAACAATTCAACAAATATATCTTCTATTGCTCAATACTTCAAATCAATTACCTCTATTTCATTCTTCTCTCTTATGAAGTAATGTTGAATGTCAATATATTTACTTCTTGAATAATGCTTTGGATTCTTTACAAAAGTAAGACATCTTTGATTGTCACACTTTATTTGAATTATTTCCAATTATACTATTTTAATATCTTTCAAAAGTTGTCTTAGTCATATTGCCTCCATTTTACAATGCCTTGCTTCCATATACTCCATCTCTATTGTAGACCTTATAATTTTTGGTTTTCTCTTGCAATTCCATGAAATAGCTCCTATTCCAACAAAAAATACATATCTTATTGTTGATTTTTTATAATTTGTATTTCTAATCTAGTCCATATTATAATGACCATACAAAGTAATGTTATTACCTCCAAAGTATAATTTACAATATAAAGTATCTTTTAAGTATGCCATGATCTTTTTGCTAATTTCTCAATGGATTGATTTAGCCTTTGACATGTATTGGCTCACATTACTCACTTCATGTACAAGATCCATCCTTGTGCCAATTATTACATACATGATTGAGCCTACTATTGCCTTCTATGGAATATCTTGCATTTGACCTTCAACTTTAGTAAACTCCTCATCCATTGTCATATTACATGTATTCTTATTTGAAAGTGAACTAGACACCTAGTTATGGAAGGAAAATAAAATTGAAATAACAATTCTAACAAGTCTAATAGAATCTTAAATAAAATTCAAATAATTCTTAATTATCTTAATCAATCTTTAAATAATATTTTAATCTTTATAAAATATTAATAATAAATATTTTAATCTTTAAGATTTATAATAATCTTTAATTATTATAAAGATTGTTATAAATCTTTATAATAATCTTTATAAAATTCTAGAAATAAAAAAATTTAAAGAAATAATAAAGAATCCTAAAATAATACTAAAAATACAAATTTTATATAAATCATAAATAAATCCTAATCAAATTCTAATTAAAAATCTAATTTAAATCCTAATGAATATTAATCAAATCTTAGGTCAAATCCTAATGAAATCCTAAATTTTAAATAAATGTTAGATAAATTTTAATCAAATACTAATCAAATCCTAATCAAATCTTAATATACCTTAATCAAATTTTAATCAAATCATAATCAAATTCAAATAAAATTCTTAATCTTAATCAAATTCTAGATAAATACTAAATCTTAATTAAATCTTAATTAAATCCTAGACTATAAAAAAATCCTAATCAATCCTTAATCAATTCTCAAATCTTAAATAAATCTTTATAGTTCTATAGTAGATTAAAAATTTAATAATTAATGATTAAAATATTTATTTTGATTCAAAATTTTCATACCTTACAACAACTGAATAAGCAATAAGCACAAAAAAATTGAAGAAGATTATACACACCAATAGCAAGTAAAGCTCCCAAAACCTCTAGATTGTTGGCCATTCTCCTTCTTTGACTTAAATGTTGATCTTTCAATACTAATTTTTCTTTGTTGAATTATTTAATTGCTTCAAAAATTGGACTATGTGTAGTTATTTAAGTTTTAATT